AATAACTTTTTCTGTCTCCTGCAGATTTGTAATTTCTCCTGATTGTTGTTGCTTTCCTTTAAAAATGTGGCAATGGAGAAGTCTTGTTGTGCCAATGCACACTGAGAGAATTACAGATTTGCTTCCTGGTCTTTGTTATCTTAAAATGTAAAATATTTTGAGAAATGTTTAAACAAAAAAGAATATACTGATACAACAACAAAAACAACGACAACAACAACAATAAAAGAACTCTAGTTTCAGCAAAATGCTTTGAAACTTCACTTTTATCAGTTTTTAGACTCCATCTCATGCCTCTGGCCATAAATCCTTAATGCCTTCGTGAAGTGAAAAGAAAGTTTCAGTACAGTTTCCAAAAGATAGCTGTAGGTGTCGTCTGTGGGCACATTTGGTGATAGAAGTGGTCTGAATTTGGAAATGGCTGTTGCTTCTCTTATCACTATTTCTTTCAAGCCAAATTGAAAGTAGGTTATTGAGATACTTCTGCCACTCCTGTACCTGGTCCAGATATATGGAAGATGATTTCTTCTAATTATAGCACAGCATTTCAGAATGTGTTGGCTTTGAAGGCAAAATCTATGGGCATCCATAGGGTTTGAAAGACATTATTGTAAATTTATTGAATTCACAGAATTCACCTTTGTCTTATGAAGCCATTGAGAGACAAGTGGTTGGAGGTAGTTGTATTACCAGGACTTATCATACAGGCTTCCCCTTAACTTGCTCGACTCCAGGTATCTGGTTTTGGTCACTCAAAGACTGGACACTAACTAGACAGACTTTCAGTCTGACCCAGTATACATGCTTTTCGGTATTGATGGTCTTGTTTCAAGAACCAGACATGACACTGCGATGTTAAAGAAACTGCACAGTCTACTTCAAGGAGTAGAGTAAGTGGTAACAGACCAAAGATGCCAATATGTATGGGGAATAAAGACCCTCCTTTGAATGAAATACATTTGAATCAATACTCACAGATGGTTAATACAAGATGCAAGATTTTTTTTTCTAGAAATGGAAACCGATCTGAAAATGAATATCCATACACAAGAAAAACTTCTGCAAATCTTGTAAGTACTGATTGCTTGGCAGAAAGACAAGTAATAGAAAGTAAACTTATTCTTTTAATTTACAGCTAGCCTAAGGAATCAGTACACAATCAGACAGACCCACGCAGATATGGATTGTGTGAGTAAAATGTTCAATGAGTGACATCTTGGAAACACGCTTACATGAATTAATATTTAATATGTTATGAACAACAAAGTATTCAGCACTTTTACAACCTGATCCAACTTCTTATGAAGTCAAAAGAAATATTCCTATTTACTTGTGTGATTGCTGGACCAGATCAATGCTGAGAAAATAACCCATATGTTTCCAATTCCGTGGACCTCATGATGGCAAAGAGCAGCCACAATTTGCCTAAGGAAGTACTAAGGCTCTCACAAGACAGAGATTGCATTGCCTGCTCTGATAAGCCCTGATTTGCACCATTCTGGAAGCAGAGTCTGGCCCACCCTTGAGTCCATGCCTTTTTAACCCCTTAGCACATGGCAGTATGTAAATCCTGCAGGAAAGCTGCTGACCTTGCACATGCAGTAACTTCTAAAGTAAACTCTACAGCTGCCAAAAAGCATATGAGAAGTCAGAAATAACTTACAATATGGCAGGTGTTACAGTGCAATAAGGGCACATCTTAGATATGTTATGAAACATAGACTGAAGTGTTCCAGAATCTATTGAATTATTACAGTACAGGCTGTGAGGTTGCTATTTAGTTGAAATTCCTCTTTTTATTTCTACAAAAAAAAAATTTCCTCTTATTCACTCAATTTACATGCCATTATCTTGGATTTCTTTCTCTGAAAAGGAAATCCCCTCTCCTAAGTGTCAAACTTGAAAAGTTTTCAGTCTTAAAAGGAGTTACTGAGCCAATGTCCTACACCTAGGTAGCTTAGGCCATGTAGAAACATGAACTATTCACATCAAGCCCTCAAAAGCAGGCCAAGCTCAGTAACACAGCCAGCACCTTCAGCACCTCCAGCAGCAGTGGTTAGTGGGAAAGATACAGCAAGTCAAGGGACTGGGGAGATTTATCAGTGCCCAAGAATCAATATACACTGAAGTACACGCTTGGAGAAGAGATTTTTGCATTGGCTCTGTCAATACATTGTCATGACAATGGCCATCAAGGAGGAGATGCTGTCTTTTGTCTCAGGGGTTGGACGTTGCATCCCAACTAATGAGCCTTATCTCCCAGAGCAGCTCCCACACAGATGATGCTTGCAGTCTCCACCGCATTGGCATGCATTTTTTGCCCTTGGAAAGCACGCCTTTAGGTATAGCACATCTTTTAGTACACATTCTGCAGTCACAAAGGGACAGACTCAGAGGAAACTCCAGTAAAATCAGTGGGACTTTGCAGCTCTAGAAATCTGACTTTTTGGCCTTTTTGAAAAATCTCACACTAGATCGTTCATAAGCAGCAATATTCACAAGGGTATCAATTAGGACTTAAAAAAAAAAAAAAAAGCTACTAAGAAGTAAAAATCAACCTTTCATTAAACCAAAGCCTGATTCTGGAAAAATGATTGGCAAAAAGCAGAAACCATGTTGACTCATCTCTAACCTGAGACAAGAAAAGATTTGGATACACCTAGATGTAATGTTTTGCTTTGCAACAGGAAATCCAGGATGATGGCTTCAAAGGTACAGATTCCTCATCACATTGTATTATCTCTGTTGAACATAATTAGATTATTAAACTAGCTTGGCCTTTGCATAAAGTAACCGACACAGTAGTATGGATATGACAAGGAACACTTTTCATTTCAGTTTCTCTAGAAGGTTACTGTGTGTATAGAGTGATAAAGTAAATTTTCTGTTCTCAAACCTGGAATTAGTCTCCAATCTATAAAAATACATTTTTGTGCTTGCTGATAGGAAAACTATATGCCTCCTTTACATCTGGGTTTGGTTTTTAATTTCTCAAGGCAGTATTAATGCCCACAAAATGAATGCAAGATGGTAAAAATATTACATGGTTTGGCCTAATGCATGCTTGGGGAAGAGTGCTGATTGGGTTTCAAAGTCATTAAGTGGTTGCTCCTTCTGCTGTGCTAAACCTTTCTCTGTGCTGGAGATAAACGCTTATTGGCATCTCTCTTTTATCAGTGATCTGCTTTACTTTGTCTCTTCTCACACTCTTTTCTCACTGCAGTACAGAAAGCCATGTATAAATTACATCACAGAAAAGAGGCACTACTAGCACTGGTTGATGGCTCCCTTCTTCATACAGGATTACATCTTCATAAGACTTGAGATCAGCAATAGTGGACTCTTTAACAGCAGCGGACTCTTTTTTGCTCCATCTTCCCTGTCTCCCTTTTTTAATCCTCCAGTGTGCCAAAAAATCACTCTAGAAGATATTTGGAAGCTTTTTGACTTCAACGTTTTTGAAGGTGTCAGATTGGGCTTCTCCCCAACAACAGCAATAGTTAACTTAGCTAGCTATCATGTTTTAAGGTTTGTTATACTTTTAAAGAGGTTTTTTCCTTTCTGCTGAAACATGCCAGAAATATGGGGTTTCTGTCCCAAGCAGTGGTTCTCCTTGCTTGTTTTTTTTCCTTGTTTCTAGTGGGAAAGTTGATGAACAGTGGTCTAGGAAGACAGGAAGGAGGCAAAACAAACAACGAGCACAAATTAAGAATTTCCTTCTTCTTTACTTGGAAAACCATCTCTCTTTGCTTCTGGATTTCTGTGCAGAACAGAAAGAAAGGCATTAATTTAGCAAGTAAAGACCCATTCCAGCAAAGCTACAGATGGAGCTCAAAGCATGACAACGAGCAGACAACCTGCACAGCTTCATTTTTTCCTTAAGCACAAGAAGGCAAGGAGTGCCCGTGTCTGCCAGCAGCTGCATGCAGATGGTGATGCACTGAACTTCTCCACAACAGTTGAAACTGTAAATCATACATTAAATCCATTTTAGATTTTAAACACTTTTTTTTTAATTCCTTCTCACTTTCACTCATCCAGGAAAAGTTTTGCTCCTCTTGAGCTCGTGAGTCAAATCAAGCGAGCAGATCATTGCTTATTGTTCGTCTCCAAGTGATGAAGGGTGGAGAAAGGATTCGTCATCATGCTAAGTTATGGGAAGAGCTTTGGTTCCCTGAGATTACGTTGCAGTCAGTGCAGAGAGATGGCAACTCCCGGCTCAAATTGCAGGTATGTGAAAGCACTCTCTGGAAAGGCTCTTTTCTCTCCATGACTTTGGAAAGGACAGAGGTAATGAAGCCAGATGTAGATGGACAACAGCTGAAGAAAAAAAATTAAAAAAAAACTACAAACCTATTTTTTCTTGTTTTTGTGAGTCATTTTTCTGAGGAGAAAAATGCTATCACATATTGCTACATTTTACAGAGGAGGAATCAAGTCCCAGGAAGTGAAAGATACCTGTGAGACCTGTGCTCAGCTCAGGACTCTGAGAGTTACAGGCTCTACAAGTGTGTACTTATGTGCTCTGTGCAGCAAATGCATCAATGCTCGTACAGTATCAGGTACATAGCTCAGCTTTGCACTGATGTTCACTACCGCAGCGTTTTGAGAATAACCGTGGGCCCTCGCACACTAGCAAGGAGCTTTATGGCTCAGTTTGGTGCAGCTTGCACTTATTATGTGTTTAGAGAGCTGTTACAGGTGGAAGAGAGCAGCATGTTGCAGGCTGGTGCTGGGATTAGGTGTCACCTGGCTTAGCAGCTCTGGGACACTCACTGACACCGTGTATCAGGTTAGGTTAATCATCTCCCACTTGGTTCCGCTTGAGCAGAGCCGTGTGCCCAGGGTGGAGATCAGTGACAAAACGAAGTCACAGAGGGAAAGCATTACTTGCTCTGTGCTCAGCGGGTGGCACCTGCACCATAAGACATGCAGACTTAGTGCCTGGAGCTGCCAGGAATCAGAAGCTGCATCTAGAAAGCAGCAATACCTCTCCAGGGATGCCCACAGCAATCAATGCAGGATTGGAGGACAAAATGACAGAAACTGACAACGTGGACAGGATATTACCAGAACAGGAGAAAAACATAAAGGCTATAAAAATACCTGCTTGTTTTAGCAAGATGCCTCAGGAGAGTGGGAAGGACTTCCCTCACACCAAACAAGTGGGGACTTATCTGGTAGGCAGAATGATCAACAAGGGCTCCTTTGCCAAGGTGATGGAGGGGCTGCACGTCCCCACGGGGGAGAAGGTAAGCACGCGGTGGGAGGGCACCGCACACCAGGCACTGTGAGTAGCCTTGCAGTAGCTTATGTCAGAGAACTGCAGACCATTTAATCTGCAAACCACAATCTACTCAGCGAATTATCCTCTGAACCTTATCCTCATAAATTAACCTCATAAATTGAGTTTATTGCTCATGTATAATCAGTCACATGTGCGAATATGTACTGAGTACAACTGTTTTCACAATTATAAGACAATATAGGCAACAAAGACATACTCCCTGTGAAAGAGAGTTGGGTATGGCACAAGGATAATTTCAAATCTGCTTTCCCAGTAATCTTTGCTGAGTAATTAGGGACAAGTATCTGACCCTTAAGGTTTCAGACAACACATTTGGAAAGTTATCCACTCCTAATTCATTCACTTTTATGGCAGGACACAAATAATCTGTTGTCTCCAGAAGGGCTGAAATAATGCACTACAAACTCTAACTGTGGAAAGGTGGATTACTATTGTAATAATTTTTTTGATTTTTGCTTTCCTTACAGCTTCAGTAGCATCACTTTTTGACTGACTTCCCAAACTGCAAAGGCTTTGATCCCATCTTGCTGTATCATGTATGGCTTTTAGACCAAACCAGGGGGGAGCATACTGGCAAAAAAAGATGTGGTACACTGCAGATGAAGTTAGTATGTAGGTTTTTTGTAACTGAGAGTGTTATATATATATACTGATTATTGTAGTCTGATTGGTGTCTATGGCAGAGCTCAGCCTTCCTGCTTTGGCCTTAAAGAGAAGTGTTTTCTTCCATTGGGGGTGACTCACTTAGTGATAGCAACTCTTAACACCATGACTACATCAGGTTTTCCCACATGCCAGCTTACCACTCATACTTTTGAAAATTAATCTGGGTTGCAAAGCTTGTTGCCTGTTTACATATACCCTATAATTTAGGTAGCCATAAAAGTCATTGACAAGAGAAAAGCCAAGCAGGATTCCTACATGGTAAAAAACATGAAGCGGGAGCCCCGGATACACCAGATGATCAAGCACCCCAATGTTGTTCAGCTATATGAGACCCTGGAGACTGACAACTCCTATTACATGGTGATGGAGCTGTGTCTCGGCGGGGACCTCCTGGACAGAATCTGTGACAAACAGAGGCTGGCAGAAAGGGAAGTAAGGAGATACACCAGGCAAATTCTGTCTGCGGTCGGGTACCTGCATTGCCACGGGATTGTTCACAGGTAAGATGTTTTTTTCTCCCAAAGAACAGTAAAGCAAGAAAGTGTGCAAAAAAAAGAGGACTCTTATTCATAAAGAGAATTTCTTAAATTTTCCCTACCAAAAATAGTGTTTTGAAAGACAACATTCTGTCACCCCATGTTAATAAAGCATTTTATTTATTATTTATTATATTATATTAATTATAATTATATTTATTATATTAACATGCTGGGGGGCAGAGTGGGGGAATAAAGTGACAAAGCTCAGGGATAAAGGCTGATGAGCACAACACATTAACACTTTGCCACAAATATCTCAGTATTAGCTGATGACAAACTTGTATCAAGTTCAAATATTCCAGAGTGGCTATGTAAATAAATACTGATCTCACTTGGTTAGCCACAACATAGTGAAACTGCTACCCATCACCCAGGACAGACTAGCAATTGAGCGAGCTGCTACTGGAGAATCACAGCTCACCAGCTGCAAAGAGAAAATCATACAGTGGGTCACGCTGAGTAACCCGCCACATTGGCTTTTGCATTACTGGAACAGATCATGACTACTTCTACTGCTGGAGGGACCTGAGCAAAGAGAGTTAATCTTCTTCCCCCTGCTATGAATCCCAGAGCGCATGCCAAGAGCAGCAGAATAAGGACTTCCATTTTAAACAGAAGACAAGCAAGAAGCAATTTTTCCCACCATCTTTTTCTGTTTTTCTGCAATAATTCACAGTCAATCAGATCCTTCATTTTAAATGATAAATGCACTCACTGGGAAAGCCCCCAAGACCTAACAAGTAATCCTGCTGAGTGCATCATTACAGCAACCATGAAACAAATAAGCTCTGAATGTGATGGCTCAGCATTTGCAAATGCTTTGTGTGCTAAACATGAAATTCTTGCAGTCTAGCATGTAATTACTGATTTTTTTTTTAATTAATAAGGAACAGAAAAGAAAGAGTCATTATCTACCTACAGAATTTAAACATTTAAACAAACAGAAAACACCAGAAAACAAACACAAGGGGCTTCATGCATTCAGTCCAGGCTGATATCTCTGATGTGCTGGCTCCCTAGATAATCTATTTTACAGCATTTCTTCAGTGCCCACAAACATAATGTTTAAGTTCTTCCCATGACAACATTCCTTATGAATTTCATAAGCCCTCTCCCTTCTCTTTGCTTGGAAACAGTTCTTCCAAGTGAGCAGGGGAGTAGCCTGATTTCTTTCCATCCTTCTCTCTTGAACTGTTGTTATCCTTTTGCTGGGAAAGCATTGCAAGAGAAGACATTTACTGCATGCTCTAAGAGCAGACAGGAGCAAAATAGTGCAAAGTGCTCCTAGGGAGACTCGTTTGTGGTGATATGTTCCTCAGCTTACGATCTGCTGATAGTTTGAGGGTCATAGCAATGGTCACAAACTTGCAACCATAAGCAGACTGGAAAGAAGCAGAAATTTGTCTTGCCAAGGTGATGGCCTGCCATCCTCAGCACATCCTGTGGATCTGGAAAAGCTCCCGCGTTCAGCTCCAATTGCTGTGATTTGCAGCCACTCACTGCAGAGGTTAAACCAATGAGGAAAACTGTGGGTGTATCCTCTTCTGAAAAGAAGGCATCAATGTTTCCAGCAAGATGAGCGCAGAAATAGGAAAGTTACCTCACAAAGTCAATCTGATTTTCTCATCTAAGTAGTCAGTAGAGCTCAACTCTTCACATTACTTCCACCAAAAATAGGGAGGGATCCCCAGCTGCTGTTAGGAATGAGTTTGCTCTGTAGGTGTGAGGGCACAGCTGGGGAGTTGCTGGTAAAACCAGACACCATGGTAACACTTCCATGATGTGGATAACTGTGTGCCAGTGCCTAGAGCTATGCTTGGGACAGACCTCCACTAGAATGGAGATGCTTGGTGACTGCAAGGTCTCATTCCTAGGAGCTTAGAGATTGGCTAATTTAATTCACTTTTGATCACATGTGCATTTCTGATTTTTAATCCCTTTGAAAAAATGTATTTCCCTTTGTCTTAATAAGATATTTGATGGAAAAACTGGCCATTTCCTTAGCTATTTTTAATAATACAAGTTAATATGGTCCACGAGAAATCTTGTGCCCTATTTTGACAGCTATTTTGTTCCCCCAAGCTTCACTTTTTCTGTTCAGCACAAAAATCAGCACCTATCCAACAAATGCTTATGGCTTAAATTAAGGCAGAGCCTACTTTTCTTATCCATGAAAAAGCACAGTAGATTGTGACGCCTAAGTAACAGAATAACCAATAAGACAGAGCATGGCCTCATTTGCCTGCTCATTCATCACACAACTTTTCACTGTCTAAGAGGGCTCAGGCACAAGACGAGGTAGAGCAGCATCATAAGCTTGCACTCATCAGCTGAGCTCTGCTAACCATCCCTGTGTCTGCTCTAGACATGCCGAAGCAGTGAGGTAATACATCTTAGCTTTAAAACCTCTAAAAATATATACATAAGCTAAATTACATTACCTTGAAACTGTTTGGGGTAGTTCATGCGCAGCCTGCTATCATCTCCTACAGCTGGTGTTTGCTAAGCGTCAGTAATCTGCCTGTGTGTACAATTTCTAATTTTTCCTGGATATTTTTCCTGGATATTTTCCCCTCTCCCATAAAAAAAGCTCATATATATCCTTTTGAATCACTACTGAACCAAAGACCTGGACAAACATCACAAGCTGCCCTCTAGGCACTCTTTCCGAAGTCCCCATGGGAATGAGAAAAATTGCATGAAGTTACTTAAAGTTACACCATTTATGGGAAAGTTTCCTTCAGAAAAGAAAGAACAAAATGTATTTTTGATGCAGGATAACTTCAGACACTTTGTAAATGTTAACAGCTATCATTATCAGTTTATCAGGCAAGAGAACAAATGTTCTATTAACTGAGCACTCATCTCCGTTGTGGGGATCAGACCAGCAGTCATGGGGATCCAAAGTAATATCATTTAATTGGAGAGTAGTAAAAGTCATCAGAGTGCTCCATGGGGTTTCAAAAAAGATAGAAATGTCAGATTTGCAGTGGCCTGAAGCCCAACTGATTTTAAACCACACAGTTTAGTGCACAGAGTTGAGCCACAGTGGTACAAAGTTATCTTTCATCTACCTCCAAGCTTCTGGGCACTGACTGATTTGCCACCCCAGAACACACTCTATTCAGATGAAAATTTATTAAAAAGTTATCATTAAAACCATTCCCATCCTATTCTCAGCCTGGGGTGGCAGTTTTTTCAAGTGTCTCATCCAGAGCCACTGAGAAGAACAGATGCTCCCAGAAAAACAGGCATTGGGAGCACCAATACACTGCCAGACCCCATCTCTGCAGAAGCACAGTGTTGGCTGCATGGTGCTGGTCCTTCCAATCCATGTTCTGTGCTTCTGTTCTTCCTCCCATCCTTTGTCCTCGCTTGTTCTCATCTACACTTGCAGGTCTTTGGGCTAGCAAAAGCACTTCCACATACTCACAGCTGCTTCTCAAATTTACTGTCTCCTCTCTGTGTCCCTATAGAACCAAGGGAAAACTCTTCATCACTGCCAGCCACACCAGTTCCAATTTCACATGGGGCCACAGTGGGGTCCAGCAAAGCATTGTAGGCAGTAAGATTGGCTGCCAACAGCCAGCTTGCACCAGCAGAGGATTCCCCTGTGCTGCAAAACATTTCAGCTGCCACTTGGGCACTCCCCACTGTGGAGCAATATTCTATCTTTTGGTTTTAATTTGTAAGGATATAAATGTTCCCACAATAAGTAAGTAAGCCACTGAGCCAGGCAGGAGTATTACTCCTGCAGCTCTGAGTTACATCCTCCAGTGCGGCAGCTGTTCCTGGCTGTTCTGGTTATACAGACATTAGTCTGGAGGTGACTACACCTTCAAGTATCTGCCCCAACCTAGCTCAGGAACATCACAGGGGGAGAGGCATGGCTCTCTTCTCCCCCTCATCATCCAAATCCCACAAACACAATGTACTCCACAGGAAAGTTGAAGTATTCAACAACACTCAGTGCTTCAAGCAATGACAAAAGCACTGTAAGTCCAAGCATGCGGCAACCTTTTTCACTCAAACAAAGAAATAAATACTATTTCTTTTCCAAAATAATGCACCAGCAGAATGGATGATTTCTAAAATGAAGAATCTATTTAAAAATACTCATAAAATCCTCCCCTAAATACAGAAAGTTTCCACAGCATGAAAACTTTAGGATCTTGTTACAATTGAAGGCATTGCTGTGCAGCACTATTGTTATTTCAACTAAGTTTTGCTAAAATATATCTACAACTGGGACAACAGAAGTCTTAAAGTTTGCTTTCTGTCTTCATTTCAGGGACCTGAAAATTGAAAATTTTCTTCTCGATGAAAACAACAACATCAAAATCGTTGGTATGTACATGTTAAGTGTGTTTTCAGCTTTCTTACTTCAGCTTTCAGTGACAATTTAGCTACTGTTTAAACAGCATGTTGATATGACTGAATTTGCGATTATTCAGTGACTATATTGTAGCTTTTAGTATAAAGAAAATCATGAAGTCTAACTTCACAGCTTGTTTATGAGCTTTAATTAAAACATACTTTCAGGAAAACAAGGCAAACAATTTTGTTTGCCATTTTCCTTACTGTATTGCTGAGAAGCAAGAGAAAATTACAGCTTTTATATGTAGAAAGCTGTTCCTAGTAGAAGTGATTTGTAAAGAAATAAATCTTTTGGGAGCAAAACATGGGTATGGGTGCACTAGCTTCTGTGGAGTCATTATTTGAACTAGAAACCTCATTGTTTGGTCACTAACAGAAACTTTGCTAGGGTTCTGAGGCAAACATATATAAAAATGGGGGAATTTTCACTAAGCAGTTAACACAGCTCAGAGAAACATTAATTTTATGCTATAGAAACCGCATGGAAAAATCCCCGCAAGGGAAGCTCACTTTTAGAGACACCACATGTTTAACCCAGTGTTTCCCAAACTTTTGAAAGCTTAACACCTCTGAGAAAAAAAAGGAACCAGTTCTTCATCCCAGGTTGACTGCCAGCCAATCTGATACAATCATACCTTCTCCCCCCTGCCCTTGCACGCATGCATACATACAGAGAAAAAGGCTTAAGCCAGCACATTTTACCCCACATTTACAACAGGCTTAAAGCACAGCCTGCTGAGCTAGATGCTGTAACTCATTCAGCCGTGCTCACTCAGCTGTAAGGCTGAGCTCCTGTATGAGTATGCAGTCAACTGAGGCAAGCCAGAATAGGTAAACCAAACCCTACCAAAGCCAGAGTACAGCTTCATGGATGGGTAGCTTTACTGTTACTGCTCCAGTCATCCAAGGCACATTTGTTTGTACCCAAGCAAGCTCTGATGTCACCAGATGCTAGTGCTAACTGAGCGGTTTTTGTCGGCAAATATAGCCAAGAGAAGATGATGCCTGAGGAGATGGTTACTCAGTTTGTCTCCTCTTTGTAAATGATTAGGAAGGAACTTTCCTCCTCCTCCTCTTCCTCCTCCTCCTCCTCCTCCTCCTCCTCCTCCTCTGGGCAAATCCCAGGGATTTGTTTAGGCCACCAACAGTGACCGCCAGGCCCCATTCTCTTGATGAAAACCCCAGGCTATCTCCTGAGGCGGGTCACACAGCAGGAGACCTTCCATTTGTCCCCAGTCCCTCAACCCACTGCTTTGGGTATGCCAAAGTAGATCTATCAACCACTACATTAGGCCCACCAGTGAAGTAGCGTGGACTAAGCAATGGCTCCATCAACTGCTTCAGCACATATAAGTTATCTGTCTCTACTGCTCTGCATATATTTTGCTGTTGCAAGTAATGCAACGGCATTACCTCAATTACCTCACATCAAACCTCCTGTAGTCCTCATTTTTCAGATACAGAAGATTGCTCTATTATGTGCAACTCTGCCCTAAAGGCATCTGCAATACCACAAATGCTGTGCAAGGAGATAAAGCACAGTTAGCTGCACTCATAATGTGTATTGGTTCTGTATCTTTCTCCTATCTTTGGCCAATTGGTAAAGTATTTTAAGAAAAGTATTTTGCTTTCGTTTTTTTTATGACCATCAGATTTCGGACTGAGCAATACTGCAAAGTTTGAGGGTCTCTCTCAGGAGCTGTTACATACCCAGTGTGGGAGCCCAGCTTACGCTGCCCCTGAACTCCTTGCTCATAGAAAGTATGGCCCAAAGGTGGATGTCTGGTCCATGTAAGTAGATCTAAAAATATATTATTGAAACAACCTCAGCACTTAATGGTTTGGATATGACCTTGATAAAAATGGGTTGGGGGCAATCTGCCTTAGGATATCAGAGAGACATCAGAGAAGGATTGCTAGGAAAAAGGAAGGAAAAATGAGTTTTGAAACGTGCATTCATTGTAAAACACCACAGAAGAAGAATGACTGAACAATATGCATGCTGCTCCAGGCTTTAGGAACATATTCTGAAGTGAAAAAGAACTTGCACGTAATGGCCCCCCAGATGAATCTCTCACCCTCCTGTCACTCTGGCACACAATTTCAGCTCTTTGGAAGTTCTATGCTGAAAAATGGGCATTTTCTGTCTAAGGTATATTTTGACTAAATAAATAAATAAATAAATAAATAAATAAATAATCAAAACTTCAGTATCTCAACTAACAAGTGGGTAAAGTTCAGGGTGCTACCGAACCCATGATAAATGCCGGTGGATTTCAAACATCTCACAAGGTATGTAAGAGTAATTGCACTTTTTAACTTTGAAGTGCTTCAATCCCATTCGACTCCACATCTGCACTGATCTAGTGGATCTTAATGTTCTACTGCTGCTCAGCACGCAATATTGCACTTGATCCAAACCCAAACCACCTCATTTTGGACATCTGTCAGAAGGAAAGTGAGGCCTGGTTGTACAGAACTGGTATGCCCACCTCCTTGCCCATCTACAAATATACAGAATCTCTTTCTGGAGTTCTTGGCAGTCCTTATTAAAAACTGTGTATCTGGAGAGGACAGAGGGTTTTAGCTTGAAGTACAGTAATGCTGGTAGCTACATTTAGGCATCTAATTCAGATATCTAAAGTAAAAGCTTTGTGTTACTGTGTGCTCAAAAGAAAGGGATTATATCACCCAGAGAATGATTCAGAGCATCTACATTAAGAGGCTGCCTCTCTCAATCAGCTTTACAATTCTGTGTATACATACACTGACACACATGCATATATGCAGGTAAGTAAATAATGTACATTATTCTTCTCATGACCCGTTTCTGACAGACACACGGTATATTAAGGTTTTGACCTAGCCATGATTCTTATACCTCAGCTTCCTCTAAATCTGTGGGATATTAATGGTACACAAAGTTAGGGATGAAGGACAAATTCTACTCAACTACTTCAGTATGTCTGGATTTCAAGAGCCCTACTCTGAATCTATTTAGACATTACCCAGATGAATCAAGTTTAAAGGATGCTGTCAGCACTTAAATAGGATTATACTTCTTTCACATTTTGGATGGCTGAATGAAGGCAAAGCAGTAACCTTAGAACCACCTATTGAGCTTACTCTGTTAATAAACATCACATAACATATCAAGGACTATATAAAATTCATATAGAACCCTTGGTATTTAACACAGGCATATTCTGAGCTTAAACATAAAGAATGAGAACCTGAATTGTTCTCATTCTCATTATGGGAAAGGGAATTCTGATGGATTAACATTGATTAGACAGATAATTTAGTCCTATTGTCACAAAATAAATAAAGGATTACAAATTAACTGGACTCTGGAACTGAAGGATTCCAGTGCTTGACTTTACACAGTAAGACTGACAAGGAGTAGTTACAGATGAAGGAGGCAGCTAAATTCCCTCAGAAACACATTCAGAAAACTAACCACATATAGAAGTGCAATACAGTTGAGTCTCCTAGGAGGCAACATGGAACAGCCCATTTTGCCTACTGATGATTTTTCTGTATAAGATTTTAAAGATTTTTTTGAGAACTGGAAAATGATTAGCTGTTGTGCACAAGATGAATTAAGAAAGCAGCTGTTGTATCCAAACTAATACAGAGAGTTAGATGGGGTAGAGAAAAACTAGTCTGTTATAGCTAATGTTTGAGTTCCACTACAATGCCAGCTGCAATTACTTACTTTGTGCTACATTTTGTAGATCAGATTTTGAAGGAGATTTTAGGACAGCAGCTCTATCCATTCCCCAGATTCCTCTTCCTTGGGGATTTCTCCACCCAATAGGATGATGAAAAGAATTATTGCCAGTTTAATGCACCAACTGTGCATACCAACACCAGAAAGTTAAACTGTGTGTTTTAGTGTTTGCAGTGTTGAAAACAGAAATGTATTTAATGTTGTAATGATATTAGAGATCCACTTGCACTGCATGCTGCTCCTATTCACCAGAGAAAATAAAGTGGCTCTCCTCTTACTTTGAATCCATTTGAATTTAACCCACACAATGTTATGGATTATAGAACTACAATCCTTGCTACTCCAGTCAACAAGCATTTCCATGCTGTTTCACTGCAATATATTTTTTTTATATCTCTGTATGCCCTTCCTCAAAGAATTCATCAGGGAAGTTGTACAACAAAAATTGCTTTCAAGGACTAGATTTATCAGATGGTTTGATAAAGTGAGAAGAGATTGATCTCACTTAGCTCTGACCATCTAACAACCAGGCATCAGTTATTCCAGGGTGGTAGTGTCCTGCTATTGTCAGTGCAGAGAGGTAGCTTATCTTCTGAAACACTTAACTGTGGACCAAATAGCTGTATTACATTGTTGTGATGACTTTTGGAGAGGCTTGTCTCTTTCTGTTGATAACTACTGATGCCTAGATTTTAGCTGCTTAAGGTAATGCAAGTCCTGATCTAGTTCTAGCAATTGAATTAATCCACAGGTTGCTAGTTCAAATGCAGTTCAACTCAACAATTAGGATAGGATAGGATAGGATAGGATAGGATAGGATAGGATAGGATAGGATAGGATAGGACAGAATATGATGTCCTTCCAGTTGGAAGGGACCATCAAAGATCATTAAATCAAACTGCCGGACCACTCCACAGCCAAACAGAAGTTAGGGCATTTTATTAAAGGCATTATTCAGTGTTCAAGCCTCTTGAACACTGATAGGCACTGGACATCAACAATTTCTCTAGACTGGAAGCCTGTTCCAGTGTTTGACTGCTTTCACGTAAAGAAATTTGCCTAACATCCAGTCTAAGCATCCCCTGGTGCAGCACTGTGCCACTTCCATGTGTTATGTCACCAGTTACAGGGAGCAGAGCCCAGCACCTCCCTTTACATTCCTTGGGAATTTGTAGAGAGCAGTGTCACCTCTCAGCCTCCTCCAGAATGGACAACCCAAGTGTCCTCAGCCTTCCTAAAGCTTGATCATCATACTAGCAAACTGCCACTATTTTGCAAGAGTTAAAGCTTTAGGTCTCTTGTCAGCAGCAAGTTATTATCAAATGAATGCCTTCTAGGCGTAAGTCACACCTAATTTAGCAATCTGAGCAAAGCAAGAAGAATTGAATTACAATCTGGAACAGGATCTACTGGATCAGTTGCAGTTCTGTGTTGTCACTCAGTCTCCAAACAGAAATACTTTATTCTGATGGGCTGGGTACATTGCACTAACACTTCAATGAGTTTATTTTAAAAATAAACAGCACTTTCAACAGTGCAGGCTTTCCAGTCACTCACTCTACAGACTCTTTTATGTACATTTCCCACAGAATTCTTTTATCAATAAAACAGCATTTACTCAACAGAAAATGTGTAAGATGTCTCCTCAGTGCAAATTTCTGTTTGGAGTTGATAATTGGTAAACTTGTTCTTGACACTGAAGACAAATCTCTGAAACCCAACTCAGCATTGTCATTTTTCCTTTTTTTTTAGGATATTTATTAGCATTATCTAGAGCTCTAATGTCTGTGTTTTTTTCTTTTACAGAGGTGTTAGCATGTTTGCTATGCTAACTGGCACATTACCCTTCACAGTGGAGCCTTTTAATATCAAGCAACTACATCAAAAGATGGTAATTGGAGAAATCAGCCCAATTCCATCAGATATCTCCCCTGGTAATGCACTCAATTTTTTATAAAGAATACCAATGTGCATTTATATATATATAAATATATATATAAAGGTCTAATTCATGAGATAAAATCAATCCATCAATACTATAAACTTCTCTCTGGCAGACAGTATGAACTTTCTCTAGTTTGTTTGTTTTCTCTTAGAAATAGCTTATGTGTCTTAGACAAGCTCTGTGTCTGACAGCAGGAAGATGACACTGCTGTTTCTTTTGAAAAGACCACTATGCTTGGTTCTTATATACAGGTGGAATAAAATGTACATTATTTTTACAAAAAAGAGCAGTTGTGCAGAAAATGAGAACACCGTCATGTTCAGTGCATCATATGCAGGTTATAGACAGGCACTCTTTCTTGTCTTTCCCCCAAAAAACCCTTTTAAATTATTAAAACATTAGACTTTTTTTTTTTTTTCCTGAATAATTTACATTTGACTACAACAAAATCCACAGCATCAATTCAAGTAATTAAAGAAATGATGAATCCTGATGGTTTTCATGAGAAAAAATACCATTGAAATACAACCTTTTCCACCTAGATTTACTGACAGTGTTTAACAATCTACAGCCTATGGAGTCTTCTACTGGCAAATGTAGTTTTTTAGCCTGGATTAGAGCCTGCGGCTCTAAAGCACAGGAGCAGTATTGGTGTATGCACATTCTGGATCTGTGTTCATAAATTTACTTCCATAAAGCTCAGAATTCCTACACACCTCTGGCTTTAGTCCCTATTTTCTCTACACCTGGACTGGCATCGTCTCTGTTGACTATCACAGAATTTGGCAGCTTCTCACAGCCCCTTTAAATCCTGCAGCTTCAGTGATGAAGGCAGAAGGCAGAGAATGATCTGAGTCTTGCCCAGCAGTCTGCCAGTCCAAGTCCAGACCCCCCCATCGCTTTGAGTAGCTTTGCTCCGACATTAGGCAAGAATGAGCAGGGGAACCAAGATGAGCTGCAGTGTCTGCCTTCAGCCAAGCACTGGGAAGCAGCAGACAGTTCCAGGATGAGCTAGCTGGATCTAGTCTGCAGTCACAATATTAAGATAAAGTGATAATATAATTTCTTTTTCTCCCCCAGTAAATGGTATGAGGATATCTATTCTAGCTCTCCAGAATATTTACACATTAAATTCTTATTTATTTATCTTTCTTTGGAGATTGACTACCAGATGGCAGATTCATTTCTCTACAAGCTCTCCATTGATGCAATTATAATATTTCTGATTTTTCTTATTTATGCTATTGTTATAGCTGCTACTAATAAATACATTATCTTTGTTTTTCTACAAAGCCCACACAGTCAGTGGAAGATTGTGGATAACTCCATTGTTTCCTTGTCCACTGGGAATTTAGTGAGACAGCAGTAGCACAGCATTGCATACTTCAGATCTAAGTTCTTCTGAAGGAGATTACAAAGTAAAAGGAGCATTATGTCCCCAGTTTAATGTTCACTTGCCATTTTGCTCATTTTAAAGAATCCCCAAGGAATATGGAAGACTTTGGCAGAGTTTTCTTAAATTAAAAAAAATAAATAAATAAAGAGGGACTTCATGCAGTATTGAAACTAGATGGCCAACATACGGGAATATTTAAGCTTGCTCTGACCCAACACTAGGAAGTCAAAGCATATTATGTTATCTGGGCACAGGGGTGCATTTCCCTCCTTCCATACAGAGATTTATCAGTGTGATTATTTTCTTTGTTGGACAAAATAACTTCAGGTGCCCCTTTTCAGAGCCTTAAACAAATGCTGAGTGGGCACAATGCTGTAGTTACTTGTTGATTCCATACACCACATTCATCAAGATAAATCAAGCAAATTAGGAAGCAACGTCCTGTGCCACATCAATAGCAGCATCCACAGGTCCATATCTTGCTTCCTGGCAGGGACCACACTGTCCAACTTGCTCAGATGTCCTTGGGAACACAGGGGACCACATGGGACTGCAGCAGCCTCAGGAGAACTGGAGCTGTCTTATGGAGCAAGTAGCCCTGGACAGTGGATTTTAGTTTAGGTTCTTATAATGCAGAGAAGCAGTGTTCATGCAACATTTCCGAAGAAGAAAATGTTGACATGCCTGAATAATCAGGGCTTACTGGAAATTATACCATTTCATCCAAATCCTGTGCAGGAGCTGTACACTTTATGCTGTCCTTACTTGAGCCTGATCCTGCTAAGAGGCCTGGAGTCAAAGAAGCAATGAAAGACAAATGGTTGAACGAAGGTTTCACCAAGAATATCCTGAACACTACTACCAGTGAGAACAGGTAATTAATCTCACATCTCCCTCTGGTTTTCAGGATTTGGGGCTTGGGGGAGGGCAGAATTGGTTTTTTTAGGTTTTTGTTTAGAAATTTTTGTTACTGGTTGCAGGGTGCTCCAAAATGCCATTTCTGAAATTTTATTTCAGAAAATATGTGAACTTTTCTAACCACAGATAAGTTTTATATGAGAGAAAATATTCTTATGAAACTGCTCATATCTGTGGTATAAGTAATTTTGCTCCTGACACGCCTCACTGGTGCCACTAATTTTGGGAGTTTGTTTTTAATCTTTTCCTGCATAACAAGGTCTCAGATTTCTACCTGAGGGAACGAATTTTTATTTTACACTGAAGTTCCTGTCACTCTGAAGATTTTGATATTGATCCATCTCATAACTGGACATAATTAGTCTTCACTTTTCCTTAGCGAGCCATTGTATTGTTTAAGACCAATATAAAAGCTTGAACTCCTCATTGGTGTCTACAGGAAGCACAGAAGGCTTTCCTACCACAATCTGTGTCTTCTACCACCAGTCGTAGCCAGGGCTATTGGAAACTTATCTGCAGTTTGCTCATCTCTCTGAGAACTGCCCATTGCTCCTATCTCTGACCCCCCTTCCACTGAAATACAGCTGTTCCCATTAGCATCAAAGTTGGACCTCCAGAGGTCCATTCCAATCTCTACAATTCTGTGATTCTGTGGGCAAGTTTGAAAATACATCTTCACTGCCTTAGAACCCACAGCCACTGTATTTTTAAAATGCCTCTAGTAGACTTTACTACTCACAGTACCCTGTGAGTAAAATATTTCTCATTATAACATAATTAGTTAAATTTTGCTATTTCACGTCTCTAAAAACAAAAATCATCCCACACTTTCCTTAGGATTTTATCTTTTTGTCCTTTAAGGTTTTCCTGCCTTTGAGGCTCTTCCTGCCCTCTTATGTCCCTGCTATCTCCCTCTGTTAATCCATTTGAGATTACTGTACTGAGAACCCAAATACACACACTGGAATGAAAAAATGCTGTTTCCCACCTTCTAATTTTTCAAGCCTAATCCTGGTAGATGTCCTTTCAGAGTAATCAGTTATATCAACAATAGAACATTTAATACTGCAGTCACAGAACCTCAGCCCGGCAGTGAGGTTAGCAAAGCCAGGCACAGTATTTCTGTACAATGATGTATCGCACTGTGCCTATTCAACCTGCTCAGCCACCTCTAGACACAGCATGGGAAGTGCAAATGCCTGCTCGTAGTAAATCCTGATACTGTGCCTGGATGTACTGCTTGTGTTTAAGTACTTTTTCCTGTTTCAGACTTTGCTTCGATGAATTGAATCCTGTTATTTTAAACTATATGACAGAAATGATGGAATTCAGTCTTTCAGAAGTTACCAAAATTCTAATAAATAACAGACCTTCTTCTGCCATGGCTTCTTATTACTTATTGCTGAAGAAACTGCTCAGGTACCAGAAAGCACACAGAAGAATCCAGGTAAGACTTGATGATCATGATATGCACAGTGTTCTCTCTGCATTACTCTTACAAGGAACATTGCTACAGCCATGTAGCATCTAGGAAAACATGGCAGGTTGTGGAATGGAGACAAAACTTACCCAAAATGGTAAAGAAATTGCATATCTAAGTGCAGCCTTTGGAAGCCTGCATTCTGGCATTCTCAGCAGTGATTATTTTAAAAGATTTTTCACAGAGATAAATATCTTTTTTTTTTTTTTAAGTAACGATTTTTATTTATTTTTTTAATGAGCTGCTGGTTGTAATGGGATTGAGAATTAATATGTTTTGCATAAAAAAATATTTTTCCTTTGGGAAAAGGAGCATTAGCATCCCAACGACCTTACCATCCCTTCTGTTTCAGACTGCTCCATGCAGGTATGGTCCAAAGTCTGGGGAGGTGAGTGGAGAACTATGAAAGCTGTAAAATTCTTTGCCAGTATCTTTTTGGCGCTTTTGCCACTGTATCTTACCCCTGGACTCCAGCTTTGACTCACTCAGGGACATGGAGTGAGATCAGAGGAAACAAAAATTTTAAAAAATAAATTGAAAATATTATGGTAATCACTAGTAAGGCCACAACTAGTTAAAAAGGCTGTAAGCTTTTCTTTTACAACCGTCTCCACTCAGGGGTTCACAGCTCAGTCATAAAAATTTTGCTTCAGGCAGAAACTGGACAGACAGGAAGCCAAGTTCCAGCTCCTAACACACAAGTGCAGTGGGAAAAGTTTCAGCTACAAAACAACACACATCAGCGATTAGCCTCCCATTCAAAACCTTCACCCCGGAGAAGCTGTATTTTGAGAAGGTCCATTTGACTCCTCCAGATTATTATTTAGATGAGCTTGAGAAGATCCAGATCTCCATCTCAATGCACAGCCCCAAGGTAGCAGCAGGCTGAGCATTGTTTGCAGGCAGAGCCGTAACTCAAAACTATGAGTAGGGGAGTATGTACTTACATGGGGGAGGAGGCAACCTTCACATATCTGGCTTTTTTCCTATCATAATTTTAAATTGAGTCCACTAAATCACAACTCAGACAGAAGGAGCTGTGTTGTCAAGGCTGTGGACCAGTTTTCTTGAACCTCTGGATATCAAGCTGATTTACAGCCCTCCAAGATGGAACCTTCTGGGTAAGTGGCAGCATTTCAAATCCTCTGCCACTTCTTCCAGTAGGGCAGGGGAGCGAGCAAGTGCACAAAGTAGGGTACAAACCAAGAAGTGGTCTGTGCTGCTTTCTGCCATCCGGAACCAAAGGGTCCTCCCAAGGCAGAGGGCCAAGTGGAATTCAAACACAGACTGAAAAGCAGTTTGGCTTCTGGCTAATAGTGGTATAAATTATTGTTTTGAAGTCTCAGCATATATATGTTGCCCAAGCAGGCTGAAGATTTTGGTAGAGCAAGAAGGAGAAGAGGATAAACTTAAGAAAGGCATGACTATGTGGGTTTTTTTTTCCCGTGGTGAATAATTGTGGCAGATTGGACTCTAACATAAATAATGCTTTGTAATATCTGTTACTAAGAGAATAATGAAAATCTTTCCTTGTCATTAAAGGCTTGTTTCCTATTGTTTATAATCACAGAGTTTGTAAAAGATGAACTAAAAAACTCACAACCTGCTACCATTTAGAGCACCATTTGCAGTACTATTTAGAGATTATTGTTAATTAAGAGTTTTCATAAAACTCATGTGTTTTTTTTTTCCCAAATATTCACTCTACATTGTTTGTTATTTAATTGTATCTCTCTAATCCCACTTACATTCTTTTACATTATGAAAATGAGTATTTCTCCCTTGTTGGCAGTTAGGCTCTGCAAACACTTGTAGTTAACAATGATCACCTCTCAGAAGCTTTTCATTCAAGCCTTAGTCACTCTTCCCAAAGAGCTCTTTCAAACAATGATGCTGTGCTGCTGTTTCCTTGCCAGTTTCTCCAATAGTATTCCTACTGCCTAGAAAGGCTGAGGTTCAGGCAACAAAAAGGGTGGGATTGGGAATGCTAGCTAGGATATCAAACAGAGCTTTCTTACTGGATGCTCTTATTTTTCCAGTATTCTCTGGTCTGTTCTTCAGCAAAAGTTCTTTCACACATATGCTGACACAAAGAGAAAACTTAGCCCAAAGCATAAATGGAGTAAATAGGAAAAAGAAAGAAAGGCTCTGGTGGGGCAACAGCCCTGGGGAGGATTCTACTCTTTGGTCCAAAAGAGGCCAAGCACATGTTCCCTGGCAGGCTGCATTGCCTGGCTGTGGCTGCAAAACAGGAGTGCGAGGATGCAACAGAGGGTGAGAAGGGAAGCCTGCCACTTTTTCTTCACCTTCTAGTTCAGCCCCTGGTAATGGTACTGGAGCTTAATTACAACAGCATGGGTATTTGATACTTGTACTGCAAATTATGCCAAAGATATTTCAAAATGCATAGATAGATGTTCTTTCTGTTCTGCATAATGCCAACTATTTGCTATTTATTACTAGCAGTGTGTGAGCTGTCAATAAACCACACAACATTTTTTCAGCTTTCCAGAACTTGCAAGTGTATGCATCTGCTTTAATTTTATGGAGTTCAACAGGAACTCATGGGCATAAAATTAATGCATAAACATTCACTTTTGCATCTAAGTGCCAGTTTTAATCTGAGTGAAGCAAATAATAACAACTAACAAAGTCACAGGTAAAACCGAGTGGCAGAAAATAATCCACCATTCACTGAAATGATTTCTGCTTAGGACCATAAAGGATATTGTGCCTATGAAAAGAGATGTTGATGGAGACCTAACATTTGTAAAGGAATACAAGCAAGCTAAAAACCTCCTTCTCCTCAGCTAATTGTTGAGAAAGTTGGCATCCAGCTCCTTCGAATGTTCTGCCTGTAAAGAGCCAAATATATCAAATATCAACACAAACAGAAAAGTATTTGTGTTCATGACAGTGCTCATGAATAACACGCAATAAAAGCTCGACCAGTACAATCAGAGCAAAACATATTTGGTATTCAAACACATATTCATAAACCACCACGTTCAACTCATTTCAGGCAGCAGACTGGGCTGTGATTTTTAACACAATACCAAAGAAACGTACAATTTCCTGGGGACAAATCTTTAGCAGCACTTCTACCACTGGAAAAAAAAGCTCATGGAAATTATTTTTCATGTACAAAAAAACCTGTGTTTGGGAAAACAGTGTGAGTCATTGTGTTTGCAGCTCCTCCTTGTATACACAAGCTAACATTTGTACATACAAATAATAGTTTTGTTGGATGCAAACAGATGGGATTCTCATTTTCCTGGGTGCAATTAGAGAAGTCTGCTGAAAGCTCGACCCTGAAAAGAGCATAAGATCCTTTCCATGTTCAAATCTGAGCCATAAGTCATTGGATAAACTTAAAACACAGCCTGTCCTTTTATGCATCGTAATTTCTCCAAGCGATGTATTTACATTTTATGTGTTCTGTTGTAGAAGTGGGAGCCCTAATGATTACAATTTGCCATCCAGAACTTTATAGCTAGTCCTTGCAGAAAATAGCGTTTTTGCCAAAAAGCTTCCTGCCCAGGTGCTTAACCAATTAGCTCTTAAGAGGTCTGGCAGTAAAAGCAGTCATGGCAAGTTTTCTGATATACTGTATATAAGGTGACAGCTTGCAAAATGTAAGATGAAAATTTGTTTTCTTAACTAGCAGTGTGTAAAATCCTGGGGGACTATTTGATTGCAGAGCCTAAAATGCTTATGACATCTCCAATTCCCAGCTGATCTAATGTGGTTTTAGCAATATGTTGTCAACTTTAACATATTGTGTTTCTTCTTATAAATACTTAAAAAATAATTTCCTTGATTGTGATTGGGTGCTGCAAATATGTAAGAAGGATGGAGAAACCCCACAAACACTAGGTTTGAGGCCCTTAAGATTTTCCCAAATATTTTTCTATCTCACAAAATACATGCAAACTTTCAAAACTACCTCTTCTCCAAAATTACTCCCACTTTTCTTCTGATGGCTCATTATATTAAAAACATATCATTCACAAGGGGAATATTTTTCTATGAAAAGAATGAAAGAAAACTTTTTTTTTTTTTTTTTCTGAAGCAAGAAGATCGCATGAGGTGGGGATTCCAGTGAAAAGATCAAAACTCACTATAGATAATCCTTGAAGTGGCAGCTGTATGTCAGCAAAGTGGGTCTGTCAGAGATGATGCAGAAAATGTGCAAAAAAAAAAAAAAGCTTGGTACTGAACTGGAACATCCACACAGACAATTAATGCATTGCAGAAACATCTTTTTCAAGAAGGCCAGCCCTAAGGGAAGAGGGTCTTAGGAGAAACAGCACATGGTACAGATAGCTCATCACGGGGTTTCAGGCTGTAGCAGGATATTTATGTGGGTTTTCACCAAAATTCCCTGTGTCCTGTATGGAAGGAGGAAGGGTCTGTCAGTCCATGTGCAGCATAGTTTCAAGAAGAACCTCTGGCATGGAGTCTGCTCAGAGGAACCGTGGGTTTGTAAAAATAGTGTCTTTGTATAAGCAACATTTCCCATTACGCATGTTGTACTGTGATTTCCTTTCAAGTTCAAAGTGGTTTTTTGTTCCATACTAATCGAATGCTGTTTGATAATTTTGCAGAGGGAAAGCACCGTAGAAAAACACAACATTAATCCCAATAAGCACATGAATGGGGAGTCAGAAATTCCAATTTCCCAGCAGGCTGAAATGGACACTCTGGAAAATCTCAGAAATCATGACAGTAAGTCTTTCCCTTCTGTAGTAACCCTGGCAATGCCAGATTCTATTCAACAAGATGAGATTGCAATTGTATCTGAAAACCAGGAAAAATTGACAAAAGGTACTGCCTTGGCATCTTGGCCTGAGAGAGTTCTAGGATGCACATCTGGGAAAAATAAGAGAGAACACAGTTCCTAAAAATGGCATAGAAATATCCCTTCACTTTGCTTTGAAATGATAAATATTTTGAGAAATTGTTTTTCACCCTCAAGTTTGATTATTGATTTAATGCTAATCTGGTGAAAAAAAAGCTAGCAAGTCAATACCCGATCTAATTTATATTTTGCAGGTTCCCTTTACAAATAATTATATGTCATTATGCAGGTTAATTACTACAGTGCCTCAAAAAATAGACATTTATTAGTTAAAAAAAAAAAAGGATATTATTTGAATTCTCAAGCTGAATGTGGATATGGTGCACACTCAAGAATTTGTTGCACTCACTTCCATGGCATCATTTTCAATAGTCTTCAAAAATACGTGTACTTTTAGGTGTATAATATTGTATGATCAAACTCCGGATCTGAACACAGGCCTATTTCTGCTCTGGTAACTGCATGCCCACATCTATTCACATATGAGATACAGTTAAATTAATTGGATAAATAGCCCCAGAGACATAAAGGAATAATGGACACCAAAATTAAGGCAGGCAGCGTTAGGCAGAGACTATTCACCCAATCAGAACGCCAGGTAAGCTTGTTGCTTACCTCCAGATCATTATTTTTTTTTAAGTCTTAAGTGCAAAATTGCCTCCTATGTCAAGACCTGTTCCTACTTAGGCCTTTACAAGTGCTCTGTTGACAATCATTTTTTTAAAATATGTGACAAAGCTGTTTTGAGCTGTTCTTCATTGCGGCAAAAGCCAATCTGACTTATCCTATATTCTATTTAGTTTCCAAGTTTGCAGACAGAGAGTTGGTTCATCTTGGACTTCCTACATCATCAAGCAAAAGTACATTATGTGAACCTATATATCAGCCACTCTTGGACTTTCAGGAGAATCTGAAGGATTTTGAGGACTTGACTGTAGCCAGAAAATCATGTCTTCAGGAGAAATCACAGGCCACAGTAGCAAACAACCAATCTCCTTCTTCAAACATTCAAGCAGTGACAAGCACAAGCAAAGTGCCTCCTCGGTCACTAATGGAAAGCAGAACTATTACCAGGAGTCCTTTGCCTCAGCAGGACATGAGGTTTAAAGATCTTCTGAAGGCAGTAGATGACAGTGTTTCCATGCCAATAAAATGGCACCCTGGTAAAGAAGGCACCAACCTCCTAATGACTGTCTCTCCCCAGATCTCCCCTCTTCCCAGGCTGCAACAAACTGCCCTTAGAGAAACCAAGGCTAGAAAGATTTCCAGGCTAGGCGGATCACAGCAACATACAAATGTCTGCCCGCTGCTTTTAGTCAGTGGTTCAAAACCACCAGCCTTCCCCATGTCCCATGAGCAAATACTTACTGTAAGAAGTTTGAAGCAGTCTAAAGAAAAACCAACTTATTGTTGCAACAAGAAAGCTAAGAAAAACTTGAACCAACTCAGATGTACATCTAAAACTACAGACCTAAATCTTCCAGCTTTATCTCCACCATACCAAGCCAGGCTTGGGGAAAAAGCAGAGATTTTAAGGTTAAATTTTACATAAATAAAGAACACACAAAGCATCAGAAGCAAAAAAAAAAAAGTGGAAAGAGTGGGAGAGAAATAAGGATGGTCAGAAACCAAGGGAGATGTGGAAGGAAGATTTGTTAAATCTGAACATATGACACCTCTAAACACAAAAAAGGATTATATGTGTATCCTCCAACTTCTATCACAAATTGGGTTACAGATTTTTTTGGGGCACACCAAAGATGCAAAAGAATAAACACCACTGTAACAGTACAGCATCCAGTACATGTAAGTGAAAAAGTGAAGACAGAAGACATGTTTTTAAGTATTTTGAATCAATACATGCATTCCAAACGTGTGTTACTTGTGCTTACGCACACAATTCAGGAAATAAATCTGGTCAGGCAGCTTTCATTAAGCTCTGAACATAACGCAAAAGTAAATAAGAAGTAGCAATGTAAGAACAGATTTTTTTAAATTGTCTTAATAAACAGAGTGCTCATGGCCCTGGTCTTTAACTTACTTATTATTTTTGTGTGTATTCTAATTAATGGAGACTGCAACGTATTTCCCCTGAAAAGAACAAATCCACACTTCCTTGTAAATTTAACAATCTAATTCCAATTGCATATTTGCAATTGTGCCCTTGCCACATTTGTCCCTTACTACTGAAAACATGCATTTGCTTTCAGTTTCAAATACTTATGCTTCTTAGTTATGTTTTCATAGCACTAACCTTGGAACCCAAGTCTGTCCTCAAATCAATTTTATATCAATTTGTATCTCTCAACTTAACAGATTTGAGATCAGCTCACTACAACAGAGATAAAGATGCACTGAGACTCCTCATATTTGCAAGCTTACAAGAAGGTTTTCAAAGATTTCTAAGTAATGCTAGATGATACTTGGGAATCACTTGGGTAGTCATCCCTACAGCTAAATTCATGACATTGCTTTCACTTAAACAACCACAGATTTTGATGAGTTCTATGCATATTGTTTTTCTTCATAAATTTATGAATCGAAGCTCTTTGCCTCTTCATATTTTAAGTACTGCTAAGTCCATTACAGTTCAATGGCTTAGATTTTGCTCAGTTATCCATTTTCAACTAGGGAATTAGGTAGTTGTGGACTGTAGGAGTATGTACCTTCTAATCACTGGGTTATAGAAAAAACCCAGAGGGGACGGAAGGGCCCCTGGTTTCTGGACAGGGGCAAATGATGAGCGAGCACAAACCTGGCAATTGCTTTATGAGCTCCCAAGCTAACAAGCAGCACAGAGACTGTGGTACTACAAAAGTCAGAATGTGGAGGTAGCTGAGTGATTCTCAGATAAAGTTTTTCTTGGAAAACCTGGTTCCTGCAGAATTTATGCAATGTTTGTGTCTCAGCATTTTCAGCTTTGCATTTGCCTTAGAAAATGCTTTTTGTTTGAATATACAGTTTGACACAAATGGTTTCAGCTGTAAGTTGACACTTCAATTTACTATTTCCTTTCACAATACTGAAGCGCTTCAATCTGACCATGAATGTCCAAAAGCTTTTTCCTCCACATCATTTTTTTCCATGAAAAATTTCTTTCCTTGACACTTTCTAATATTTTGTCTTTATCCCTGAATTCCAGATGACAATAGCATCAAAATTCTCTAATTTTTCCACTGAGTTGAAACTTCATTTTCCAAGCAGCTCTACCATCATCTTCCATCCCCTGTGAAAGCTCTTAGAGGAGAGCAAGAGAAGCTTCTCCTTTACCAACTCACTCCACATGTGTCCATGTGAGTGCCAAAGAGAAGACAGCCACAAGAGAACACCCAGACCCCATTACAGATCCTGGCTAAAACAAAGCCCATGTTAAGTGAGTGAAAGTCTTTGTGGGGTCCCTGCCATCTCTCTCTAGTTTTTCCATCCTCAAGGCAACATCATTTCTTATTTCTACGATTGTTTTACTAAAATAAAGGAATATTAACAATATGCCACCTTCTGCCTTCCTTGGCACAATGCAGGAATAAAAGTTACTTCAGTGTTCCACAGCTAAGTATTGTTGTATAGATATCATGTGAAGAGAGATTTCCTTCCTTTACTTACCATACAGGTATTGAAGGGCTAGCTTCAACCTAGCCTTCTCCCGAGCTGCTCCAACACCAATGAAAAATGTATCTGCAGCTAGCACAGCACGGCCATATCTGAACAGGAACCCTCATCTTCCGCATATACTAACGCTTCAAAATAAAATCCACCTCACTCTGAATGAGTGTGGTTAATGGGTCAATGCCATATGTGCTGGTCCTGGATCCTGTGTTGAGCTTGGAAGGGGCAGGAAGCATTGTGCCTTATAGCCGATAATGGAGCGCATGCCGATGGAAACACCTCCAGGCAGCCAGGCTGCATGGGTGGCCCAGGCAGGGAGGTGTTGCCAGTATTTTAACAAGTGGCTCCCACAGAATTGTTTCCCTTCAGCAGGTGATAAATTTATGCTTCAGAGATGTGATGTCTGCAGAAAAAAAACTAGGGATTCTGGAATCCATCGTTTTATTTAAAACAATGTAAAGAAAAAATATGCTTCTAGCTAAGGAAGAGGACATTGCTGCTTGGCGAGAAAACATACATTAAGATGCAGTTGGCCAGAAATGCACTGAGTCATGCTGAGCAGTGTTTGACCAGTGTAATTTATGGAGATGGAGGATGCAAGAGGGGAATTGAATGCATTGCCCATGAGTCCCACAGCATCCTACTTCAGGAAAGGTTACTGAAAATACCTAATGCTGAGTAGAGTACTATTACAACTCTGATAAACAGCCAACGCTAATAGGATGCAGGGCAAGGTGACAGTGGAAAGTGAGGCTTTCACACCTTCTCTCTATAGACTGGTAGAGGAAACACACAGCTACAGGCTCCCAAACATAAAGCTTCTGAAGGAGCATTTAGCAACTTCATTACAGTCCCTTGTACAAACAAATGCCGCATTGAGTCTCTGTAGGGGTAAACACTGGAGCTCTAGGTCCTTCAAATGGGTCTCTATGCATGGATCCTGCTTTTTGCACAATCTGTCAGTGCAATCACAAGAGATTCCCAGCCTTCCATTTCATAGGTTTTCCATTTACACATAGGAAATGGCACCTTTTACTACTATCCTGTTTCTGAGCCATATTAATAAGTTCAACTGCTTTATGAATTACCATTTTCAACACTGTTCTGCTTTTCAAATCACAACTGTTTTCATGTCAGCAAAAGAATTTCAAACCACAGGAAATTCTGGGTATGGAGTGCAAATATATGCATAGAAAGACCTACGAGGAAGCAAAATTAGTTGAAAAAATATGAAAAAATCCTGTTACTGTATTCATACTGCACTTTTAATGTCACCGTTCTTTAAATACGTAAATGAAAAAGATTAATAATTTAGCAAGTGAAGGAATTTCTGTTCAGCTTCTGAAAATCCCTGAATAATTCATCTGTTCTGACATCAGATAGCCTTTGTAACGCTGACACATCCGCACTGCCTAAAATGCTAAAGAGAGACTGAAATGACTGACTCATTCTCTCACAGCCCTCTCACCTTACAGCTTATGAACAACAAAACCCTGTAAATCAGCAGCTCACAAAAAGAGAGGAGGCAGCTCATGATCACCAGTTGCCTATATCAGAAAGACGATGAGAAAAGGGAAACGGGAACATTTTGTTTGTTCCTTAAAAACAGTGTTAAAACTATTACACCTTATCTGGAAATGGATCAACTCCTTCCCTGGGTTTTAACCATAGGGTATATGAAAAGTTTAAGAAATTCAGAAGATACGCAGCATGCAAAAACCATTATAAAAGCATAATATTGGTGCTTACAAAATTAGAACTGAGCCTGAAAAATACATAAACATATTTTCTTCTATAAAAAAACACTTTCTTATATATAGAGAGACAATTTTTACATTCTGTAGTACATAACATGCACTGGCCCACCCACACATCTGAAATTAAAATTTGTCAGCATCATAATGTTACTGAACTATCCCCTTCACCTCTTTCACCACTTTTGCAGTTCTGGATGTTGATTTCGGTTACAGATTATACAGAGGAATACTACAGAAAAGTGTGTAGCAAACTAAATAAGCATAGTCTCTTTAAGAATAAATATTTGAGATTTCTACTAGGACTCTTGGCATAAAACATCCCAGTATCAAAATTAGCAGAACTGCTACTTCACTGGCTGCAGCATTCGGGTTCCAGCCCCTTACACATGCATATTTTGTGGCTAGTCCTTTACAGATAAAGTACTTTCAGAAAAGATCTATTTCCAGCAAGGAAGGAAGGAAGTCTCATCCATGTTAAGACTTCTACCACCACAGCAACACTCAAAAGAGCATGCAGAGACACAGGAACAAACAGAGCTATGCATCAGTCAGCCTGAGATTTTAGCAAGCTGTAGGATCCTTCAGTGAGATGTCCCTTTCCCATCTTTAACCATCTACAGGATAGATATCTCTGCCTAAACTGGTTGTCTAACGTCTCTTTTTAATCAGCAGAGACTCTGAATTTCTGGAAAAGAGGGAGAGCAAATTAGAGTTTCCTGGACAGGCTCCTCAAGGTCTGCCTACCTGCACTGCCAGAATTTTGGGCCTTAATTTTCCACAGACTTGGGAACAAGAACAGAGCATTCATTAATATCACAAACATTTTAGCCATTAGAATTTGCTGTCCTCCCTATGAGCACAATGGAAAGATCTTTAAGACCTTAGCTGGAGCATGTATCAGAGTCTTAGAAGGACCAAAGCAGCTCTTAAACATCATCAGCTACTTCATTCACGGTATTTAAACTTAGTAATTGTAACAGATTTCTAAGGGCAGAAAGAAGATTGACAGTCACTTTTTATAAATTCTTTCTTATAATGTAAGTCCTGTAAAACAGAAAGTGAGAGTGAGGATTCCAGTATTTAGACCAAAGGATTTAAATGTCAATCCTATCCATTGCTGCAGCTAGAGCAGGCAACAAAAAACTTTTGGGAGTATGTTGCATGTGTCTTTCCAGTGCTGACAGATATT